AATTAATAATCTTGTCCCAAAAAAAACCACATTCGACTGTGAATTCGATCGTCTTCAGAAAGTCACGATTTCTTCTAATCATTTCCAGCATCCAATTGCAAAATTCAAGACGGTGTGGAAAGTCTCGCGGTAAAAGTGCTTGAACTCGTTGCAGATGGTAAGGGTATAAGAGATGTTCCTTTAAAATTCGAAATACTATCATATGAACAACATTTAGCTGGAAAGCAATCTTTCTAGTACTGGTAGTAGGTTGTTCTTCAATAAAATTAAGTAGTGCTTCCTCAAGCTGTGGTGTTCTTACTTCTCGATGGCGACCACAATCGAGCGTTCTTTTGTTGAATAAACCATATTCTCGTAATCGTTGATGAAGTCGGGCAAATATTCTATGTGAAGGATGCTGCCGTAGAGGATACATTTCAGCATATCTTCTAGAAGCTTTTAACCCATTCCCCTGCGACAGACCGTAAACGTAATGCATATCAGCCATTTCCTCATTTGTGTATGCCATTTTAATAACAAGTGAACTATTAAAGTAACAAATTACGAACAGAACAACAATACACAATTAGTATTACTTTAATTTCAAAAATTTACAAACTGACATCTTGATTTCAACGTAATTGTCAGTATCACTAATAGCGGCCTACTAGATAAATTAGTTTCGTATTTTCGTTTTATGGCGATATTTATCTTATTCGTAAAATAATTTTTTGTTGCGAACTGGTTTATTTTGGGTAAAAAATTCAGAAGAAATTTTTTATTTAGAATGAAACAGGCTATCGGAAATAAATTTTTAAATGGTAAACAAATAATAAGACAGAAAGTTACGTTGGAACGAAATTTTAGAGGTTGCGTTTTCCACCCCTTACAACCATGGGGTAAACCAAATAAATTACTGGCCAAGTATCTTTTTGGTAGTAGAACATGTCAGGTTAATTTCAATATTGTAACTTGTTTAGTGCTTGTGAAAAAATTGTTAAACAAATTTTATGTACCCCCTTTAAGGGGCTGTATCTTAACAAGGGATGCTCCAATGAAGTTTCTGTATATAAAAGATCCTATCTTTTTTTCGATGAGGAATCGCCCCCTTAAATGTTTTACACTTATTTAGTTACACCCTGTATTAGATGCAGATCCCTTATTTTTATAAACAGGAATTCCTTTAGATTCCTTCGTATTTGGGAATAATGATTATAGTGATGATTTCACTAGGAGTTGTTAGAAAAAGAAAAACCTTTTATAATGTTTATCAATACTCACAGTATAGTTAGGTACAATATTATTTTTATTTACATTAATAAAATAGTCATTAATATAATTTACTTTTTCTAAGGGTGTTAATTTGTCATCATTTGTAAGTTTAATAGGATTTAATAAGTTGTTTTTTCTTTTTCCCCTACTCTCGTTTATTATATTCCAGGATTCTTTCATTACGTTATTACTTTTTAAAATACGATAATTATTTTTTCTTCTCAAATACGTGTAAACATAACCTTCTTTTAAATACTTATTAATTACAAAATATTGTAAAATAGCTAATTTGGATTAAATTGCTGCTGAAAATGTTAGAAACTTAGTTACCGAGGTGGAATTATTGATAGTTGGAGGCAATCTAAGATAATTTTATGAAAGGTTGAATTATTTCCCAACCTTTGGGAATTGTTTATAAGTATAATATTTTAGCCAAACAAAGGTATGTAAAAACAATGTTTTAAAAGCTATTCGTGTTAACATTGTGAACATTTTAGATACTGTAGCCCTTCTATTTTTTGCTTCTGGGAGCTATCAGTTAGATGTGGAGGCTACCGTTTTTTGTCAGAAAATCAATCTTCAAGTCGTTGTGTTAAAAAGTCTCAAGTGCCATAAGCAAAGAATTAAAATGAATCGTTGGATTAAAGCTCCAGGAACATTGGGAGACTGCAAAATTCTTCGGGAAATGTAAGTTATTATCTTTGATTTACTTATATCTTACTCATATCTTTTTTAGGTTTCACCAGAAATTTTAGTTATCTGGAGAACGCCATTATGTAAATAGGAAACATTACCATTTATTAAATGTTCAGTTGGTGTATATTTTCTGTCTCATAATTTTAATAGAATGCATTTTAAATTTATAAACTATTTAGATATGCGACTCCTACATGTAAATTATAAACAAAATAACTTTATATTTACATTAAATCATTACAAAAATGTTACCTGCATTAGTATATTGTATATAGGTAGGTATATACTTTGTATATTTTTATTTTATTTATAGGAGTTTATTTGTATATTTATTTTATATACCTATTAAACTTTATATAACACTATTTGTATTTTTCTATACCATTTATGTTAATTTAAAATTAAAGAGTGGAAATGCAAAAGAGGTTAGGTGCCAGCTTTAACAAAGTTGGGTTTTTTCCTGCAAAAGGTTGTATGTGCCAAGGCTAATGTCCTACAAAAAGCGCAAAGTCACCCAGAGCTCTATTTAGCAGGTGAAATAAAATTACATAGATGTCGCTAGCGGTATGTCAACCGTATGTCAACCGGTATTGGATCTTTAAAGGGGCTATGTGCCAATATTGAAAATTTGACAGTTTGTGTTTGACGGAACATGATGTCGTCCAGAATTAGTGAAAATGCTTCGAGAAAACGTAGGCTAGCGGTACTGGCTCTTATAGACAGAAAAATAAAATTCTCGTGGCAAAAGAAGCAATATAGAACTTATGCCAACAAACTAGTTCCTGTTAAACACAAACCAGAAAGAGAGGTAAGTTGACATAACCTATTTTATTTGTAAACATAAATGTGAAATATTTTAACATTGTAGGTGTCCTGTCCTGTAAATGTTCGTAGAATTGTAAAAGCCTTACTTACGAACGGAAATTAGAATTATATGAACAGTTCTATGAAACTGACTCTGCTAAACAGGATACTTACCTCATGGATCTGATAAACATAGGGTATATTACAAGTATTTGAAATTAAAAATTTAAAAAAACCGACTTTAAAAACGTGCTAAATTTATATGGAACCACCCCTGAGGTACCCCCTTACTAACAAAAAAAAGAATCATATAAATCGGACAAGGTGGTAAAGCATTATCGCTAAACATACATAAAAATGAAGAGTTTGAGGATTTTCTCATGGACCCAATTATTAGATTTTAACCAAATATATATGGTACCACCCCTAAAGTACTCTCCAACAAAAAAAGAATCATTGAAATCGGACACCGTGTTAAAGAATTATCGCTGAACATAAATTAAAAAAATATATCGCGACGAATTGAGAACCTCCTCCTTTTTTGAAGTCGGTTAAAAAGAAGAAGACATGGGACATATGAGTATGCAGAAAGTAGTCGGCGTCAGTGCAGCATATTTTATACTGTGCCTGATGGTTCAGGAAACTAAGTGCTGGTTTGTAAGCGCACATTTTTGAATATATTTGCCATAACCTCTAAAAAGATAGAAATCTTGGTGAAGAAGAAGAAGATGGGTGAAACATTTTTTGTTGACAAGAGAAAAGGTAACAGTGAATCAAAGTTCATAGAAAATGACCGCCAACTAGTCAGAGATCACATAATGTCTATACCTAGGGACATAAGTCATTATTCCAGGCAAAAATCTGAAAAAGAGTCTTGAGCCCTGATATGAACATCCATAGATTGCATAGTGCTTTCCTTGAAAATTTTCCGGATTCACGTGTCACATACAAATATTATCGGCTTGATTTTTGAAAGATTTCCCGAACTTGTCATTTCACCGCCCTAGAGTTGATACTTGCAGAATTTGTGATAAATTTAATTAAGAAGTGCAAGCTCAAATTTCAAATAGTAAGACAGCAAAAACTCAGCTTGAACTGCACCATAGGATAGTTGTGAAATCTCTAGCTGCATTAAAAGAAGATACTGTTGTCTCACAAAAACCAGGAAGTATACTTTTTTGAATAACGATGGATCTGCAACAAGTTCTGTTTGTGCCTACGTTAAACCATTCAGACATGTTCTACCTCATCCAGTTATCTTGTTGTAATTTCGGCATTCATCTAAGTGACAGCAACTCAGCATTCATGTGCATGTGGAACGAATCTGTAGGAAGAAGAGGTGGTAACGAAATTGCTTCCTGTTTGTTGAGAGTGTTGAATATGGGAATCACTGACAAAAAGCATATTACGATCTGGTGTGACAACTGTGCTGGCCAAAATAAAAACAGAATGGCCCTGTTCGTTATGATTTTTTTTTGTCTCTACTGGCGTATTCGAAAGAATTGCAGAAATTTCTCGTAAGTGGACATAGCTTTATGGCCTGCGATCGTGATTTTGCACTCATAGAAAAAAGAAAGAGAACAATGAAGAGTTTTGTACCGAATGATCCGTTAAGGGTACTATAAATAAATAGTGTATAAAAACGGCTTTAAAACTGTGTGACTCAAAAGTGATGAAGTAACATCGGGAACTAAAGGATCGGAATTTGGAAACGACAGGAAAGAAAGCAAAGTTGGTAAAGCGATTAAAATAAGCAATAAAAAGAGAGGCTTTGGATTTGGAAACGTTTTTATTTTTGGATGTTACCTCTGCTATAATTTCTTTAATTTCTTCCGTATTAAAAAAGGTGTTCTCTAAAATGTTTTCTTTCTATAACGAATAAAGTTTTCTCTAGGGAGGTGAAAAAGAAAAATAGTGAATGGAAAAAATAGAAATACAAGTTGTGTAAAATACAAAAGAGGCCAAAAACGATTAAATAAACTGCCATAAGATGAGGTCGATGAGAAAATTGGAATAAGTTATAAGTAGTGCTGGTTTTAAAATTCAATCTTTCGACAAGAAGATATCGTAAACTAGTTCTAAATTAGTTTGAAACCACTGCGAGAGTGAACGAATCGTCTAAAAGAGAAAAGACAATACATCTGACCAAGGTTTTGCTAGCAAATGCTTTAGATGTCCTTTAGACACTTAAAGTAGGTATATCGATTAATAATAATAATAATAATAATAATTTATTTACCAAGAGAACAATGAAAAGTTTTGTACCGAATGATATGCATGATGTTGTCCGTTCAATGAAATATAGTTTGCCATTTTCGGTTGTAAATATGGAAGAATTGAGATTTTTTGATATCCAGACAGCAGCTGATGACCTTTTCAACACCAAAAGCCTTAACATCAGCAAGGCAGTTCATGTAAGAATAGATTCAAAGAAACTTGGAAACTTGCTACCGAAAGAGACCTTTAGCGATTTCGAGCAGTGGAAGGAGACCTGTATTTTGAAAAAGGGTAATAAGGCGTCAGATTTGAAGAACACGGTAATAAAGTTGCTGCCACCTGAAAATAAAATCACAGACAAAAAGAAAAAATCCCTCACCTTAATGATAAACTTCCTAAAGAAGAAGAAGCATCAAGACTTCTACAGGAAGATTTTGAACATTAAATAAACTAACAGTGTTTAAATAAACATAATGTTAATATTATATGGCTTTGTTTAATACTCTATTTTTTGTCATTTTTGAGAGAATATAAGTTTCTTTTTTCAAAATTACACGTTTTTTATTTTAACGAGCTTAAATGAACATAACATTAATGTTATATGGCTTTCTCTAATATTTTATTTTCCGGCACTTAGACCCTTTCTAAATTTTCGAGAGAAAATTTTTTTTTGTTTTTAATTTTCTTATTATTTTATTTTAACGACTGTTATCATATTACGCGTCTTTCAGTGCGTCTATAAGATAATGCTTACTTTGTCGCAAGTAGCATTCACAAGAATAAACTTATGTCAATATAAACATTTTGTCATTTTAAACTGCATGTATTTCACCGCGGGTTCTAAAGTTGGATCGCTTTTTTCTTTGTCTCTTAGAAACCAAGCATTTATTTTGCCATTTGTCAATATTATATAGGGCATTTTACAAAGTGTGCACCTATGTAAAATTCACAAAATTTTAATTTGTGATTTGGGAAGTATAAGCGTGTAAAAATTTCAATTTTTTGAACCGTTGCTTACAGATTTTCTTTAAGTAGCTCCTGTATCAGTTTCATCTCAGTACCGTGCGTGATAAATAAAAAATAGGGGTTTTCAAAAATCTTTCTTTAAACAAAAACACTCTAATTTTTAGTGCTTTTTTTGTCATAAGGACTTTTAATTATCAAGGATGGTAAAGCTATAGTTATTTAAAGTCATTTATACAAGGTGAGTCAAAAGTACTCAAGCTTAAGTTTAAAGATTTTTATAATTTGTTTTATTGGGGATAAATAACAAAGAAAAAGCTACCAATTATAAAGTTAGGCCTTAACCTCGCCCTATATCAATACTGTAAATGCCATAACACCATAACACAATAATAACAATAATGCGTACATACACACAATACTTGCACCATTGGCTTTTAAAGTTAAGTTGGCTTTGGATTGGTTGATGTTTTTTACTTTGACGTAATTTAGTGAGAGTGACAGTATAGTCATTTTAGTTTTTTGTTCAGTATATACTCATTGATTAGTCAGGTTTTTATCTGCCTACGGTTTTAAAATTATGAATAGTAGAGGACTTGTTGAACAGGAAGCGATATTGGACGAATTATGGGAATAACTCAAGGGACTATTTCCAAAATTTTAAACTACTCCTAACCAAGATCGTTTCCTAACTCTGAAGTGTCTCAGAGAATGATTTACAAGCACAACAAAGTTACAGGCGCGTTTGGCCAATGTATATAATGTAAGAGCGTGCAAACAAACAGTTCTTAAACGATTAAAAGAAGCCCAGTTACAACCCTACGAGGCAGCGATTCGACCAAAGTTAGAGAGACACCACAGGATTCAAAGACTCCAGTTTGCTTGGGAGAATTTGCCGTGGAGTGAACGGGAATGGTCTAACGTTTTATTTAGCGATAAATCATGGTTTTGCCTTTACACTAATGATAGAAGACCTGGCGAACGGTATGCACAATGCAATTTTAGAGGGCGTGTTAGTTACGAAGGGGGTTCGGTAATGGTTTGGGGAGGTATTTCATTGGAAGCAAAAACGGACCTAGCTTTTGTAGAACGTTTAACGGCTAACCGATACATTGCGGAAATTCTGCAAAAGCATGTCGTACCGTTTACTCCATTTATTGGGGAAGACTTTCTGTTTATGCACGATAATGCAGGACCGCATAAGGCAAGAGTAGTAAGGGAGTATTTAGATGAAACCGATATTGCCGTAATGGATTGGCTAGCCCGATGCCCAGATATTAATCCCATTGAGCATTTGTGGGATAAAATGGGTGTTGAGCTTCGTGAGGTACCTAATCCGCCAGAAACGTTGGAGCAAGTACAATGGGCTCTACAGCTTATATGGAAAAATATTGACCCTATGTTTATACGGAATGTAATACTTAGCATGCCGAATCGCTACCAGACTGTTATTGTTGTTTGTGGAGGAAACACCCGTTATTAATTTTTTTGTCCATAAATTTAGTTTTGTATTTTCGTCTTTGTATTTTATCCCCAATAACCCAACAAAAACAAATTATAAAAAATCTTTAAATTTAAGCTTGAGTATTTTTGAATCACCTTTTATAAATGACTTACAATAACTATAGCTTTACCAAAATTAAAAGTCCTTATGGCCAAGAAAGCACTAAAAATTAGAGTGTTTTTGTCTAAAGAAAGATTTTTGAAACACCCTATTTTTTATTAATCACGCACGGCACTGAGATGAAACTAATACAGGAGCTACTCAAAGAAAAGATGTAACCAATGTCTCAAAGAATTACTGCTGAAAGTACAGGTGAATTTTTAACTAAAATATTTGATGTATCATAATTATTATTTGTGGTTTGTTATTGTAAACTAATTTAAATTGTTAACAAAATGATAACGTACGAATAGACCCTCGTATCTTTAAATCCAGCAACTTTTCTAAGAATATCGCTTGAGTGAATATCTTGAATTCATAGTTTTTTTAATCGTAATTCAAATAGACTGATTCGTTTTCTTTCCATATTTTCCAGTTCAACCGCAAATATTTTTCGTATTTCTCGGTTACAGACCTGATACGAAATCTCGACCAACTCCTTAATTTGTAACAATTATCCAACATAAAGATCGTTTCTCGTCATTCTTATTCTCATTATGCATGTTCTCCGTTCTATTCACGTTTCATGAAAGTTGTTTTTTTTTATTTCGGCAGCATTTAAAATAATAACCGTATTTTTGTTCAAACTGTAATTGTAACAGTAGCAGCTGAAAAGTTTTTTTGTTTTAAACGAAGGAGAAAAGGAGTTTTTATTTAAAGGAGAGGGCGCGTTTGAATAATTTTCGCTTTTGTTGTTGAGTGCTCTAATAACGGAAAATCGGGGTAAAATAAAGCTGAGATAAAGACTGGGTATTTGTTGAATTTTTTTATGAATTACTGACGTACTAAAACCCTGATTTTCTGCCGTGCATCGAAATAGAATAAGGCAGAGATGACACAAACACTATTTTACGTTACGACAGATGAACGCAATTCCAGTGAAGAAATAGTGTAATAAAAATGGCGACTTGAGTGGTACTTTAATTTCTTTAAAGTCAGTAATTCTATATTTGAAGACAGTCGGAATAAAAATGATTTCATATCATTTAAAGCTATTTAACAAAACTAGCGTTTATTTTCACCAAACTGACTAGCTTCACTATTTCGAGTTTGACTGATGTAAAAATGTAATGCAAAGGTGCAGACACTTTTAGCATCGTCGTAATAACTCTTTATGCTATCTCAATGTCGTTGTCTAGCCACCTGTCAGTATTCCGATACCTCTGGACGGTCGAGACAAACGGACTCCTTCGATAAGTTACTGGAAAGCTCTAGCACAAGTGTGGATTCATGACAGCAATGGATTTGCCTGGAGCATATTATTTTTTTATATTAATGGATTCTTTTGACGTTTAAGATTAGTGAAAGCCGAGCTACAGTTGAAGATATATATTCAAATTACTAAACGAAGTAGATTATAAGTATGAAATTTAAATAGTGCTTAAGAATAAATGAATTAATAAGTATTTGTAAATAAATTACAAAAAATAAACTGTTCTAAATAAATAAATAAATGCTACATTGGTGTGTGTGTGGGGTACTATAAATAAATAGTGGTTAAAAATGGCTTTAAAACTGTGTGACTCATAAGTGATGGAGTAACATCGGGAACTAGAGGATCGGGATCTGGAAACGACAGGAAATAAAGCAAAGTTAGAGCGACTAAAACAAGCAATAGAAAGAGAGGGTTTGAATTTGGAAACGTTTTTATTTTCGGATGTTACCTCTGCTATAATTTCTTTGATTTCTTCCTTATTAAAAAAGGTATTCTCTAAAATGTTTTCTTTCTATAAAGAATAAAATTTTCTCTAGGGAGGTGAAAAAGAAAATAGTAACTGGAAAAAATAGAAAGACAAGTTGTGTAAAATTCCAAAGAGGCCAAAAACTATGAAATAAACTGCCATAAGATGGAGTCGACGAGAAAATTGGAATAAGTTATAAGTTCTGCTGGTTTTAAAATTCAATCTTTCGACGAGAAGATATTGTAAACTAGTTCTAAATTAGTTCGAAACCACTGCGAGAGTGAACGAATGGTCTAAAAGAGAAAAGGCAATACATCTGACCAGGGTTTTGCTAGGAAATGCTTTAGATGTCCTTTAGATACTTGAAGTAGGTATACCGATTGCAGTTAAAGAATGGCAAACATAATAGTGCCGAGAGTCATTAAGAATACGAATTAGTTATTGCGAAGATGGTGCTATTTGTCTACCCTTTAGCTCCAGAATACATAATTGAATGTTTGGCTGTCGGAGCATTTGTTGACTCCGTGACTATGAAATACATAGTACACTTATTTCTCTTAAAATTCAATCTGAAAATCCTAATATCTTGCCTTACACACAACCTAGCATGAATTAGTAAAAACCAGTTTGTAGAGCCTTTAAAGAGGAATTGAGTGATGCAAACTACTACTTCCAAGTTAAAACGATAGTCAAGTTATTTAACTGAAACACTGATTTTTGTTAAATATCCCGCAAATTTAATCTGAAAATCCTATTTTCTGACCTTACTGTAATGTGAGCCATTTCATTATTCAGTCATGCTCTAATACTCCAAGTCCCTCTCTGTATTATTTGGCCTTTGAGGCTCAACTTGTCCGATTATTAAACATAATTAAACCCCTTGAGACCAAACCTATGTGACGACTATGGTGGAGACACTTTCGCGAACATTCCAGAGTCAACGAGATACTATTTCTAGTCTAAATATAACGTGATAACGTTTCTGGTAAATTCTGGTATATTTGGTGGAGGAACATTCTAGACCACCAATTTGTATATAAATATTGGTGGATGAGCCATCAGAGTTAGTTGTTATATGGACAGTGAAGATAAATAGTAATTAGTAGATAGACAGTGGTGAATATAAATAGTGAACAGTTTAAAAACATTCGAAATATATATAAATTAGAATAGTAGTGTTATAAATAAATAAGTGTTTAAATAAATTATTAATTAATAAACTGTTATTTTAAAGTAAACAAACATCACATTGGTGTCAAGAAGTGAAATAGTGTAAATAAATAGTGGACAATAATGGCTAAAAGACTGTGTGATTTAAAAGTGACCGAGCTACGTCGGAAGTTAGAAGATCGTGAGTTGGAGACGATAGGGAAGAAGGCAGAACTGGCAGAACGTCTTAAGGAAGCACTAGAAAGTGAAGGATTGGATCCGGTAATATATCTATTTTCGGATGATGCATCTTCTGCTATTATTTCTTCAATTTCTTCCGATATGGAAAGTAAAATGTCTTCTATGAAAACCGATATTTCTTCTAATATTTCCTCATTGGAAAATAAAGTTTCTTCAGAAGTTTCTTCTATAAAAAGTGATATTACTTCCTTGGAAACTAAAGTTTCTTCTGACATTACTTCCTTAGAAAGTAAAGTTTCGTCAGATATTTCTTCCTTAGAAGAAAAGGTGACTTCTGACATATCTTCTTTAAAAAACAAAATTTGTACAGAAAGGAACGGTACCTGATAGATGTAAAACCATAAAAGCAATGCGGTTACAAGGAACTGTACAAAACGGAACGCATGTCTTGGTGAAACCTTCGAAACGCAATGAATGTGTTGGTCGGAGAACTCTCATTGGAAAGAGATTGGCAACTTTTGCAAAAGAAGTTGCAGTACGACAAACAATTCTACTCGAAGATAAGAAAACCCCTGTCAAAATTAGGGAAGAACAAGGGAACCATCTCGTTTTAAAAAAGATGCTATGATGGAAAGTGGAAAATTTTTTACCAACTTGGCAAGAAGTATCAAATCTCTCTTCAGTGGTTAGGTCATATTTGGCTCAGTGGTGCTCTTTTATGCTGGAAGAAGGCTTATAAAAGCGAGTACTGTGAACAGAAGACTTTATCATCCAAAAACTAGAGTAGTCAAATACTTTATCAGTTACAACGATTATTTATTGTTTCGGCCTTTACTTGATGAAAATCCATTTAATTTTGAAAGAGTAAAACCAAATTTGGTAGATTTTCACACTTTTATTTTAAAAATAAAAATTTTTAAACAAACACTAACATGACATATGTTTCACATTTGAAAAAGAAGTTGTACTTCGAAACATATGTCATGTTAGTGTTTGTTTAAAAATTTTTATTTTTAAAATAAAAGTGTGAAAATCTACCAAATTTGGTTTTACTCTTTCAAAAGTTACAACGATGTATAAGAGTTTGCAATTCAAACTATTTTAGAAATATAATGAATGTCTTAGTAAGTTATGGTGAGTTCAGATTAAAGAAATATTAAAAATTTATAATAATATTTATATTGTAGAATTGAAAGAATGTTTGACTGTTTCATCTGAAAGTACTTTAGCCACTAATTCACGTTTATAAAAAAGTAGGGACGCCAATCAAAAGCCAGATGAAACTGTTTGAAATGATTGCAGACATTTTAAATAAACAGCACATAATTATTGGGGGAGAGAGTCAGTAATAAATGGGAAACACTAGAGAAAAGCTTTAAAAATGTCGTAGTTAACAATAATGATATAACAGGCAGAGAAAGGAAATATTTTAATAAAAAAAAATTAAAAAAATATTTCTAAAACAAAACAAAATCAATACAGATATTGTGTTGTCCGAAAACACAGTTGTTGACAATTCAAATGTATAATACGAATCTGAGAAGGAAAATGCTATGCCCAAAAATTGGGTGTCATAAAATTAATTGATGGAAAACATTTGATCGAATGCATTTGATCGAAAATACATTTTATCGAATAACAATTGATCGAAAAGAAAAATGATCGAAAAGAAAATTGATCGAAAAGAAAATTGATCGAAAAGAAAATTGATCAAAAAACAAATATATAAAATAAAAAAAAATAAACTAATTAATCTAACCTGTGTAGCCTGGAGTCATCGCTGGTTACTTTTTAACAAAAATATACAAGAAATAAAAAAACTGGTGTTAATTAGAAATGTTATAGACTTTTTCTACATTGACACCAACTCACCAAAAAATTGAGCATGGTACAAGTCAAAATTAGTTAGGTTCTTACTTGTAGGAATGGCCAAAAGGTAAATAATAAATACTCATGTTTCACTTATTAGAAATAAATATATAATTGCAATTTAAAAAAATGACAAATGGCGCCAGTGTGCAAAAAATTATTTCGCAAAACACTTGAAACGCGATATACATCCTTAAAAATAAATTCCACGAATCACCTTTTATTATTTATTTTTTTTGTAATAACGGAGAATACCGTAATTAATTTTTGTATATTTACGGTTTGTTGTCATTCCATAAACACTAGGTGTTAAAGTTGGCGCTGCTTATACAAAATAACCGTTTATTAACCCCAAACAAGAGCTTTCTTTGTGTATTGTATATATTCGAATTTCGACTGCAGTATCCAACCCTATCCAACCCTATCCCCGTCGCTCCCGGCATACGTGCACAGTTTCTTTGATTCGACCAGCACGGAGAGCTTCAACTACAAGGAGGAAGTGGTATTGGAGACACGCTCTCCTTTTATATAAAAAGAGTATACCTTTTAGTCACGGTGTCGACGTTTTGGAGTAGCGGAAGTAGGATGTCTAGCTAGTGTGTACCATAAATTATCCTGAGGGATGGAGTGAAGCAACAATTTTAACTATTTTCTTTAATAATTATCTCCTTGGAGCTGAAATAACATAAGATTAAAAGTACACTCAGAAAAAATGTTTTACTTAAATCTAATGAATTTGCTTGAAATCTGTTACTTGGTCTAATCGTTAGAGTCTGGACTTGCAATTTCCGAGGTTCGAATCCCACCGTTGCACAGTGGGGTATTTGACACTGTTTGTTCATTGAAAAGTCTAGTTTTATCTTTTTTTAGAGAAAATCAGAGACAAATTTATTCAAATATAATATATTTTATTATTTTAGAGGAAATAATATAAGAGTATTTATGTCAAAAATTTGGCAAAAATGTATAAAATTCTTTTATTTTATTCAGAAAATTTTAATATTTATAAAATATTTGTGCTTCTTGAAAAAATCGTAGGATTAAAAAAAAGTTAACTGCGCATATACAGAGTATTCAAAAAGTATAAAAGGTGATGTTTTTATTACTTATGGTTTACAGTTCTTGATGATTTTGGAGATTAATAATAGAGATAAATATATGTTATATATTTCCTTTTAACCCTTTGTGGTGTCCTGACGGGACTTAAAGGTCCCAAAACTTTTAACCTCTCAGTAAATTATGATATGCTCGCTATGACGCTGTTGTCCTGACGGAACTCTGAAGTACACATTTTATAAGGTATGTAAGTCCCGCCAGGGAATAGACGCATATTAATAAGGTAACTGTTAAACATATATTCATTACTTTTGGGTGAATCTATTTAAGGTATTTGTTTATCTGATTACAGATGTCTGACTGGAGATTTAGAAAAAATTTAAATGACGAAGACCTTCCAGCCTCAGCTGAAGCAGCTGCGTTTGAAATAGAAAATCTGCCGCTTGATAGTGACATTATTACAGACGAAGAAGACAGCGAAAATGAGGAAGGTGGAATCTTTGAGGTCGAAAAGACAAGCATGTGCTTAGTAGATGATGTAGAGGAAGCAGTAGAAGAGAAATTAGACGAGGCAGTGGAGGAAGTAGTGAAAGCAGTGAAGGAAGAAGTAGAGGAAGCATTAGATACCGCAGTTGAAGACGCAGAATTGGATTTTCAGCCCGAACCACAAAATAAAGAACAAGTACGTCAAACCTCTGTAGGATAAAAACAAAAGCTAGCAAACAGTGCAAAAAAATTTAAAAACGAAACGAAGAAAAGCTAAGGAGGCAAAAAAGTAAAAAAGAAAAAAGCGAATAAGTGGAAAAAAAAGGAAAGCGTCAAAAATATTCCTGAGTACGATGGCGACGAAAACCAGAAAGAATATCTTTTTGTCGATCGCAACACATATACTGATTTTTTTTTGAACGTTTTGGGACCCAACACCATAAAAGACATTTTGTATCAGTCAAATTTGTACGCAACTCAACGAAGAAAAAATATGAATTTCAAAGAAAATGAACTCCTAGCTTTCCTTGGAATTAATTTTTTTATGGGATACCACAAGCTGCCAAGATACAAAAATTATTGGTCTTATTCTGAAAATCTAGTTGTAAAACGAACAATTCCGAGAACCTGTTTTGAGCAGTTTTTACAATATCTTCATGTGAATGACAATGCATCCATTCCTGTTGATAAAATAAAGACAAAATTTATAAAATAAGGCTTTTTGTGAAAGCACTGAATGAACAATTTGACTCATTGGACAATGGAACCAGAGCACTTTCAGTTGAAAGCATGATAATTTTCAAAGCAAGGTCATCTTTGAAACAGTATAATCCGAAAAAGCCAATAAAGAGAGGATACAAACTTTGGTGTATAGCTGATTAAAAGGGATATATAAAGAAGTTTAAAGTTTACCAGGGTAAAAATGAGGTGGCTAAAGAGAAGTTTCAGGGATTTGGATTAGGAGAGATGGTGGTTTTGACTTTGAATGAGAATTACTGGAACACGAACAGAATTGTATTCTTTGATAATTACTTTATATCGGTGGCTCTTTTGGAAAAACTGAAAACGGAAAAAACGCTGGCATGTGGAACTGTTCAACAAGATAGATTAGGACTACCATCCAATATGACTAAAGACAAAAGTATGGAGTGGGGCGATGTTGACTATAGGGTATCTAGTATGGATTTGTCATTTTTCAAGTGGTGTGACAATCGAATGGTGCATTTTCTCTCTAACTTCCACGGTACAGAAATGAGTAAAGTTAAACACCTTCAAAAAGACGGTACCGCAAAAGATGTAGATTGTCCTCAGATAGTCAATGATTATAATGTCCATATGGGGGGCGAAGATCTCGCGGATCGACTTCGACAGGCTTACTGTATAGATAAACGCTCAAAGCAATGGTGGCACCGTTTATTTTTTGGACTACTTGATGTAGCATTCGTGAATAGCTATGTGATTTATAAAAAAATTCACCCAGAGGACAAAATCACGCCACTGGAATTTAGAAGAGGGGTTGCTCAAGAGCTAATGAACTACAGCAACTACTCTGCAATACAAAATAAATCTTCAAGCAACCGCAATAACAATAGCCCTAGAAATAGGCCTCGAAATACGCCATCTGGAACTTCAACAACCACTGTACTAAAACGTAGAAAATACAACTACAGCGCGTCAAACGATGTTAGATTGGGAAATCAAGGAGCCTACTGGCCAGTTTTCACTTCCAAAAGAGGACGATGCGAGCAATGTTCGTCAATTGCAGTAGAATCCAGACCACATTCGCAGTGTTTAAATTGTAAGGTATATTTGTGCGTTAACGAAAAAAAAAATTGTTTATACATATATCATGAGATTGTTCAATATATATTTTTTTTACAATTTACATTACCTTTTTAACCCTGACGGGACTTAAAAGTTCCGGTCACAAATTTTTAGGAGGGGGGGCACAAAAATTTTTAAACAATTAATTTGACCTACATTGGTGCCTCTAATTGATATATTAAACTTATTTCTTACATTTCTAAAAAAAATCTTTATCTGGGACATAAAGGATTAAAGGAAAAGAAAAGCAAATTTAATAGCATATAATTGAGCAAAAGAAATAAACTGGTCCATAAAAGCGTCTAAATTTAAAAAAGTGATATTTTTGACAGGTTAGGAAAAAAATTAACACCCAGTATTGTATATCATTTAAAAACGGAAAACAGAAATGTATTAAGCAAACAAAATACAGGGTGTTCCATTTAAAAAATCATAAGTTTGGGCTAAATCTTAAAAACGGTACAAAAAAAATTAAGTACGCCGTTGAACTTGCCACCAAAATCTATAACTTAAAATTTATTCGTTTTTAACATTTTTTATAAAAACGAAAATATCAAAGGTATCTTTTTTTGTCAAAAAAGTAAACTTGCCAAATGTAACCGTTTTGGAAAAATTTGTGTGATGCACGTGCATGGAGCCTATTAGGCTATCGATAAAGTTGCCGAAACCTTACAAAAACTGAATTTGTGATTGATGCCTTCAAAATAAACAACTTTTTGGTATTAAGATGTATAGAAAAAATAATTATATCTTGACATACAGGGTGTCGAGAACGAATTATTTTTTAATACTTTTTCATACGATTTTTTTTATTTCAACGAAATCTATCAAATACTTAGTTTTTGTAAAGTTCTCAGCAAATTTAGCAGGATTACTGTCAAAAAAAGTAAACAATAATAGTGTACGTAGCGCTCTCTAGTTGCTGCATAAAAATAATATCTAATTAGGATTTCCCACCTCAAAAAACCTTCAATTACCAAATATTGTGCAAAATTTGATTTCTCTGGAAAGTTATTTAAAAAATCGAAAATAAAATTCCAACGTCGCTTTTAGACTAAGGTAAATTATTTTCGATTAACATATTTTAACTTTAAAAATTTGTGGTTGAATTTCATACAAACCTCTTAGAAACACCCTGTAGAATAAAAAGTTTGACTGATTTTTAAAATTTTTAACAGCACCGAGGCTGTTTTTTCTAGTTTGTCCAAAAAGAAGCAAAAAGTAGCAACAAGTTTTTGTACCATCTTAAAACTTGATGTTTACTCAGTAATAAATATATAAAAATGTAGCTGAATTCGGGAAAACAGCTAACTAATACTCTGTAAAAGTCAAACTTTATATTTATACATGATTTTTAAAACCTCCAAGATTAAATTAAAAAAATATTACTTCTAAAGATCGTTTCCTAAAAAATAATATGAGTACTACACGAGAAAAACCCGCTTTGTCGATTTAAACCAAAGCGGAGAAAAAACATTTTTGCTGTAAGAATCTAATCTGTCTAAGACCATTTTTAGAATTATTCATTTTTCTATGTTGCTTAAGTGAAATATAGGTTTAAACAATGGTTCTATGATAATTAAAATGTTAGTTACATCTAATGTTTTCAAATATGGGAGAAAATATACACAAATGCTGAATAAAACCGGGGAAAAACCAGTGATGTCCATATAGATAGAAATTGTTTGGAAGCATTAAAAGGCAGTTTTTTCTTGTCTGTTCTCAATAAAGTAAAACTTAGATATGAGCACACAAATAAATGAATATAGAAAAATAAATAAGATTTTTCAAAACCCATGATGGTTTAAAAAACTTTTCATTGATTATTAGAACCAGACCAGAAAATAAAAAATAACATTCGAAGAAAAAGAGACTAAACAACAGGGTTCGGTTATGATTTACCATTAAAAAAATTCTTTTTACTGAAAGGGCAACTCGGCAAAAAATTGGCGTCCTATAGGTCCATAATACTTTGGACAAAATTAGCAAGTTCTGGTACTTTTTCTTCTTAATTGGAATTAGTTCTGTAAACAAAATATTGTTTATTTTATTTATAATTTATATAGATGACCAAATTAGTAATGATAAAAAATATTTTAAAATTATATCTCAAAATAATTTCCTAACGAAATTGTTTTTGTAAGATTTATTGAAAAAAAAAACATATTATCCAAATAGTGTAGCTCATTTAAAAAAATGTTGTGATCTTTTTTCTCCAAATATTCATTCGTCCTTTGTTCTTTGTGTATTTCGTTGTCTATTTTTTGGTTTGTTCGATTTTGATTATTTTTATAACATTAAAATTTGTCAATTTAATGGATATTGTTTACCTGTATATGCTTCATCCGGATAAAGAAACTCACTGGATCGTAAAAGCTGTTATCTGTCATTCGGTTTCATTTTAGAAGTTACAATACTGCTAGTTATTGAACCGTTATAGGAGGAAGGATGGAAAAGTAGCCGAGGATGTTCATATTTTGCTTCAACTTGTCTTATTTCTTGAATTTTAAATGTCAACTTTTTCACATAGTGAAGAGATGATAAGAGTGTTGACCAATTACGTATTATATTTTGCTCGACGATTATGACGATGAAAGGTTCTGGTTTTACCCTCAAAAACCTCATCAAATTGTACCAGTCTGATGGAGTTTCCATATGTGTCTTGAAATTTACTAGGCCAAAGTTTTTGTCGCATTCGAGGTATGAATGGACCCGTATGGGAAATGTTATCTTAATCGAGGTAAATATTTTTCTATAGTGTACAAAATAGTGGATAAATTTGAAGACTGACTGGTTTTTATTTTGACCACCAGCGGAGTCGCAAAATATTTCAAGCGTTTGTACCCTTTCGTCTAAAACGTGGAACACAAAATTGTAGAGAAATTAAATTACTTCGTTTGATCCCTTTTTGCCAACCGTTTCCGGGTATGTGTAAAAGATTGATTTTCCGGAGGATAGGATGTGTATATTAAAACTATACATAGATAACTGGCGATTGTAGTAGGCGTCATTTGTTGTAACATTAGGGAGATATGTTTTTTTGGTAGTCTAAAGCTATGGCTTCAAAAGTAACATCAGTCTTAGAGTGGTTTTTCGCAGCTCTTTTTTTTTGAGTAGAAACTTTGAGCTTTAGCTTTGTGTACATCATTCAAAGTGGTAAGTTTCCTTTTTCTGGCTTCAACAAATGGTTCAGTACTATTCTCCAAACTTTTCATGTCGGCCAGATATTTGTCGCAAGTAATACATGTGTCCGAACGGGAATAACCGAAGGATATTTTGTAACGTTTAAAATTTTTCCTGTAGGTTTCATAGGATATATTGACTTCAGGATATTTTTCTTGAAATAATCCATACATTGTTTTAATATTGAGATCTTCTGGAAGATAGATCTTTTTTGTTTTATTTAAGCTATAATGGCTTTTTCTGTCCTTAAATGATTTAATATGAGTGTCAATTTTTTGTCCAGTAATCAGAGAAGGTTTATGTGGTCTGGTAGAATGTGTTCCACGCTTGTCTTTTGGAGCTTTCCCTGCAAGTTGCAAGGACCTTTGTACATATTCAATTTTTGATCTTGTAATGCCATGTATAGCAGCAAAAGCTTTAATACACAATGGAACTTCGTGAACGACATTTTCCCTCATAACTCTTACCCGAAAACCATACGAGCAGTCATGTAGCGAAGCACAATTTTTCTCAGACCTATTTCTTCGTCTCTTAATCTGATAAATCGTAATATGAGATGCTAAGTATGAATTTTGCTCATGTCTATCCGCCATATCATTAAATGATTTTATTATATCCTTTCTTTCATTTTCTGAAATACGTTCAAAACATTTTAAGCGTTTACACTTACAGTCTGAACTGACCTCATGCGATTGCACTCTCAGTTTTTTTGCAACGTCTCTTAAACGTCCAAGTCCCTTTTTCTTTCACAGGAAATTCCTCGGCTGACTGTTCATCACTAACATCACCCATTTCACTGTGTCTTTAACTACACATAACAACCTAAAACACCACAATATACTGAAAAATCCGCAATATCACTCTAAACAAGCACACTCACATCTGAGCTGTTTACAATATACTAAAAAATGATTCAATCACACCATGCTTCTGCCGCTTGATACTGGACATAGCTGGTTTTTTCCGGGTACGCGTGGACTACTCTTGTTTTTCCCCTGTACCGCAAATAATATATTTGTAGTAGCTCGGCGACTAAGCTTGTTTTTGCCTTATTTCATGGTGCTTTGCATAACGCTAACTAATACCTACAAAATGGCGTCAATAACACAACATTGATAAAAATGTGACAAAGCTGGTTTTTCCCGTGTAGTCTTCATATATTAAAGTACATACCTGCAGGTTGCTCATCCATCTTAAATCAGGAAACAATTTGACCATTTACTGTTGGGTTACAATTATTAATAGTGCTATTCTTACGGTGATCAAACTATTATGGTGTTGCTGCAATTTTAGCCAATGGCAGTGCGTAAACATCTCGTCATAGATTCTGGCTGGGTGGTCTTACACTGACTTAACCTTGTTCAAACTAGTTTTAGCAGTCACATGTTTAGTTTGATTTAAATAATTTGCTTGAGCAAAACAAGTAGAGCATATTTTTAAACAAAAATATATGTTTGAACCTACTAAACTCTTAAAATTTCAAAAAACCATCTTTTAAATAGACACCTACATACGTGTTATTGGCTTTATTAAAATATATGTTTCCTTAAAAAAATTGCTTAATTCAAAAAATCAATGTCCAAAGGTAACTATCAGCTAAAGATTTCTGGATATCCCAAATTTTCGTTATTTTGTAATAGATAATGAGGTAAAACAATATAAAAGAAACGAACAATAGTTTTATTGTAAATATGATGAATATTGGAAATACGATACATAAAAGTTATTAAAAAAAAATGGCAATAATATCTGTATTGGAAACTCACACAACTATTAGGAGTTGATTTTAATTGAATAAGTTGTAAATAATGAAAACCACGAACTGCCAATTTACAAGCATTGAGTTTTCATAAAACAAACGGAGAGCAGACTAAACTTTATCCATGGCTATCACAGGACATGAAATGAACATTTTACAGTAATGATATGAACGTAACGTATTTATTTTTTAAAATTACAAATAGTTATTGTCTTCATATAGAAATTTTTATTTTTGTGGAAGCAAACTGTATATATTTTAAATATTTAATCGTTAGTAAATAAAAGAATATTATCATACAGTCCATCTATTGACCTAACATTGTTTTTTCATATCCTAATTCCAGATATTCAGACATAATTTTTTAATAATTTAACTTTAATTTATTATCATTAGCACTATCTGCTTCTAATCAATATTGTGAAAAAATAAAATAAAATTATTCAAAATTTATGTCTGATTATTTAAAATTAATAAACATGTTGATAATGAGGCTTCTGGTACTATTTTTTTTACCCTACCATACCCTATTCAAGCTTAACCACAAAACTTGGCGTGGTTTTTGATGGTTCCGCGAAATCTGATTCAGGAATATCATTGAATGGTGTACAGTTTAGCTTTCCAAAGATACAGAATTTTAGGATTTCGCGTTTATAATTTTGAAATTACTGGTGATGTCTCAAAAATGTACCGACATATTTTAATAGATAAGAACGAACGTTGTTTCCAAAGAATATTATGACAAAACTATGCTTTTGATGAACTTGAATCTCATGAATTATATAGAGTTACATACGACACAGCGTCTGCGCCAAATTTGAGTGTAAAATGTTTACAGAAAGTGGCAAATGAAAATGCATTTATATTTCCAGTTTCCAGTAAAATCATAAAAATGATTTTATCTGACCATTTAATTGTTGGTGCGGATTTGAAGTCAGAAATTTCATTAATTTTAAACTCTGCAGTATTTGAATTAAAAAAGTGGTCAAGAAATGAATTTACTATACTGCAGGAAAGGAATCTAACTCGTAATCTTGATAATAACATATAAAACTGAAAGAAAATTTGTTTTGTACTTAACAAGCTGATTAATTTATAAGTGATATTTTTAATATTAATGAGATTTGTTTTTATTAACATTTTGTCATTACATATAAAAGTTTGATCTCACTTATTTAAAATAAATGGTTTATTATTCATCCAATAATTAAATATTAACAAATATACTTGAATATTAAAAAATAATATAATATATAACTTAAAAACTTAGTAATAAACTATGAATATTTAACAATTTAAAATTGTTAAAATTTAAATTTATCTTGTTGAGGTTATGTTAGGTTTTAATTTCATTAATTTTTTATACTATTTAAATTCAATTCTGTGAAACTAATTAACTGAAGTATATTTTTTAGTTATTGAACTTAAATATGCATTTTTGTGTAGAATCGATAATGAATAGCATTTCTATTTTTATTTATACTATGAAGTCAATTCTATTAGGAGTATTAAAAAAAATTCTCGACTGGGGACTTTCCAATTAAATCTTTTTTTATTTTTTTTTCGTTTGTTTATTTTACAAATAATTATTAAAAGTTATAAATTATTTTAAAATTAGTTTTTTTTTTCTTAATAATCTAAAATATTTTTTTAATTGTAAATTTTTGTTAGTGGGTGTTAGAAAAAATATACTGTATAACTCGAGTGGATTATTTACATCGAACTCAGACGATTGGGTACTCCGCCTACGGCATCATGCTCAAATTTCGTCTTCATGCGATAATTCCATCATATCCACTCTTGTTGCACAAACTACTGTTAATTATTAAGAGGTATTTATTTTTATAATAATACTAATTAAGAAAGCATTATACAATAATTAAGAAACCTTAATTTTTATTAAAAATATGATTTATTAATAGTTAAAAAATATTTATTTGAGAACAAACAACAAATGGTTTGTTAACATTAAAAATACATAACTGTTATACTGTTAATATATTTTTCTAATATTAACAAATTGTTCTCTCAGTGTACAATCGTGCCAATATAAAAATAATAAAATACTTGGGCTACAATGGAATCCACAGTCGGATTCTATAACTTGAATTTCAGATATATCAATAAATGAAAATCATATACCAAGAAAGCAATTCTGTCAACTATTTGTTAAATTTTTGATGCGTTAGATTTGCTAGGTTCATTAACAGTAAAAGTTTAATTACTTATACAAGAAATGTGGGGGTTAAATATTTCATGGAATAAAACAAAACCCTAAGATTTGTATTCAAAATAGGCTTAATTTAAAAAGTAGTTAAAATTATTAAATCACAGTAACATTCTTAGGCAAGCCCGTTTTGCTCAGTCGTTGACTATTGAGATACATGGTAATTAGATCGTGCATCTATATTAAATAAATTTTGCCTAGTCGACAAATAATTTATAAGCTTCTGTGTGTAGCACTAATTAGACAAACTACTTTACCTAGGCTTGACTTAGAAACATCCCAAGACCTCCTACAAAACTACAAAAGAGTATTGCATTTTTAGTTACATTTTGCACTTGTTTTTTTATTTCAATTGCACTTTTGTGTTGCTTAGTAGCGTAAACTTTATTAAGGTGCGTTTACACGAGTCACTTTGAATAAATTAAGATTACGTTTTACATTTTCTTCTACAAATTATATTTATACAATTTATAAGTAAATTTCCCAGCTGAACATTGGTTGTTAGCATTCTTTTAGTTTTTAAAGATAATCCAAAAAAAGTGCAAATTCGTGAAACAGATTCTTTGTTAAAAAAATATATTATAACAAGTGGCACAGAAAATATTTATTGGGTAATTCATATATATTTTTTTTTATCAATATAGTTTTCTTCACAACTGGACTCTGATTCAGATTCATCACTACTTGCCATTGTAACTAAATAAATAATACCTGGTTTTACATTAGAAACATCTAATTGCTTGTATTTTTTTAAAATCGGAAACAATTATGTTTTTAGTGTGTCTTACATAAATGTCCCACTGAGTATAGGTTACATTATTCAAAGCCTTTGACCAAGTCTGAAATACATCTTGCTCTGATTACTTTTTGTTAACATGTTTTCGTCATAAAACCGTTTGCACTGTGACCACATCATCTCAATAGCATTGTACTGGCAGTGATATGGAGGTATACTTAATATTTTATGCTCCTATTCCTCAACATATCAATCTAGGTGGAATTTTTTTAGTGATATATTTTGCCAAATCTGATATTTCGTACCATTGATTGGATAATTAATGTCTTTTTCCTACAACCATTTTACCATTTTATTTTTGTCCAACTATAATATAAAATTGGTTTCACGTACCGGAATAATAACTAGCATTTTCGATTATAGCAAAGAAGGATGTTCTAGACTGGGTATAAATTTCGTCTTTCACCATTTTTCAAAAATTTTCTGTGTTCGTATTATTATGGTTATCCACGCTTTTTGTTTGACTTTTAAATATAAGGTCTTTTTATAAACCTTTCTTCAATGCCACCAAGGACAATTATGTATCGAATTCCTTCTCTTGTTTTTTTTTCTTGCAGTACCCATCGTTCCATCTCTCTAACTTTTTCTGTCACTTCTCTTGCTATATACCCAAGTCTCATCTTCTTCTTAAAATTTTTTTAACTGAACCGATGTTCATTCCAACAAAAACTGTCCGTTACTGTTTTAAAGCGAAAGCCAATTTTTCGAATCCATGTATTAATTGACCGTGCAAAACATTTCACATCAGACATCTCTTTCAAAAATCGTTGATGTAACGATTTCATTGTTCATGTTGCGCACCTTCGTACATCTGATATATAGCTTGCCTCAACTTACTTAATATTAAAG